GGTTTTGTTGGCTTTGTTGTATTTTTTCCTCGCTGCTTACCGAGGTTGCAGGAAAACAAGGGTTCAAGAGAAATAGTCATACTCTAGTTATGATGCACCCCGCGGAGTTACTAATCTCAGAAGATCCCCCGGCTTTTGAATCTCTTACGCGAACTTTGCAGTTTCGGGCCGGTACCGCACGGTGGACCAACCAGATGCCGACGCGCTTCCGGCCTATTTGGTAGTTTGGCGGGAATAGCCCGGATTCTACCCACTTGCTCGGGCCAACGCTTCTACCTCAAAGAATTGAGCGTGCCAATTGATTGAATGTATTTATTTCATGCGTCCTTCATTTGGTCAACTCGCTTCACGGTCTACATGTGTCATTCCCAATGAACTGGTGAGCGCAATGTCGGCCGTCTTGCGGTTATCAAAATGTCATCTAAATTCGGGGATTGAGCAGTGACTTTGTTGCTACATGTATCCGATCAGTATGACAGTGCTGACGAGATGACACCGCAAGTTGATGATGGTTTAAAGATCGTAGTCTTCGCCTAACGCGACGCTATGAATGAGTGAATGGCAAGTGCGTCACATGCCTCCGAAGCGGCGGTTCGGGCTTTGAAAAGTGACTCAAATATATTTGCTAAGCGGCACGGGGTACCGGAAGTATGGCGCCCTTTTCATACTGCTTGTTTGGCCCCAGAAAACATGTCAAACATAGGGCGCGGAATGCAGAGTTCACTTCCATTTTTGGAGGAAAAAGGCAATTAGTACTGAATGCTTTCATGCTGCAATTGAAGACCAACCTGGTTATTTTCGCCCAAAAGTCTCACAATTTATTGACAGTACATCAACAGTTGCGTACACAGACGGAAGACATTGCCCAACCGAAATTGTAGTCAATTCAAAGTGCTGACGAATTTGGTGGTGTAACCTCAATCGCAACTAACATGTCCTCAATGCAAGATTGAAAACCATAACATCAGCTATTGCCGCAACGTTTAGGAGAACAGCCTCTCGTGAAAATTAATCGTGATTCGTGAAGACGCAAATACGCAATGACGAGGGGCAGGTTCAATAGATAGATCGCTGGTAAAGTGAGTTCAACTGCAAAGCCAGCGGCTTGAACATTATACGCCTCAATGACTATAAATTGTTAGTCAAACTCTACAATTTTAGCTGTTCGTTTTTTTGGGTAAATATGCATATGTCATCTATGGTTTGACTGTGAGCCACAACCTAAAGCTCTTGATGCTCTGACAAGACTCTATTCAGGCGATATTTGCGATGATTCGCGAGACTTGCTTATCGTCAATGGGAGAGGAAGTACGGGCAGGGCGCCTCTGACATCATACTGTCAATGAAATGCACTGGGTGAGATCGCGGACGGATCAAGCGGGTCACACATACCGGTGTTAAGACCGAAGGCGGAAGAGCAGACCCATTTATGCGGACCGGCTCCTCCGGCGTCTCTCGTGGAATCTCAAGGAAGACTGACGGCATTGTGATTCGCCAAAAAACAGTTGCATGCCAACGCTCTCTTGATATCAATTATCGGGACGCATGGGCTTGATCACATATGTCGCATGCCGGGACCACATTTAGTGATAAATTACGTGACGGACATGGGTTCCCAAAAAGGGAGCGCGTTTGTCCGACCTTCTTATTGGCTGCTCAAATCTGTAGATTGAAGAGTTCTAGAGCTATGATTGGTCGGAACTTGGAAGGATCATAACCCTTGATCGCCGAGCTCCCTAGTCCTCGGGATCCTCCGTCTCTAATTCTCTGTTGCCTGTTGGCGAGAGGGTCATTTCAGGGGCATTTGACGAAGCTTGATTCCTTCTTGATATGCCAATTCCAGCTCTCAGACCACCACACTCGTTGGAGCTTTTCGGCTGCATTCCTTCTTCCTCTCGTATTCGCATGCTACTCGTTTACGTTTGTCTTTGGGGCATCTCGTGTCGTACTAGCGCCTAATTCAGTGTATTGTATCTTGACAGAATGGAAGCGAGTTCCGCATCTACGAAGGGTAGCGACAGCGGAAGCTCGTCCAGAACCCAATCGCGGAGCCCTACTGGCCCAGATGAACGGTACGTACGGGTTGGTGCAGGTAGAGTCGAGCGCTGTGATGTGTCAATGCTAAGGGACGGTCCGAACTGGGAAGGATCGGTCCCGGCGTCTTGGTTCACATGCAGACTGGTCCGATGGTGGCACAAGTCTGTCTCAGTCGGGATAAATGAGCTGCATGGTGCTTGCAGTTCCACGCTGACTTGAGAGGAAACCAATAGGCCCCCGAAAAATGGTCAAATCATGGCGTTCTCGGTTGCCAATCGCCCGAAGCTGAGTCGAGCCAGCGCCCCGAAAAGCCGTACCGGATGTCGAGAATGCAGGTATGTATGGATATGTCACTTGCGAGACCCCATTCTCCCCATTCCCCTGGGGTCTCCATCCTACGAAATCCCTTGTACTCATACACCGGCCCAGGCGGCGCCACGTCAAGTGCGATCAGGCTAGGCCATTCTGCATGAAATGTGTCAAGTCCGGACGCGAGTGTCCTGGCTACCTAGACTCAACGTCCCGCACTCTGCTGCCAACGAAACAGGCACGGATTGTCTCCCGTAGCCACAATTTCTCCACTACCGATACCCGTTTATTCAAGATCCCTGGCTATGAAACAATGCTATTTGGCCAGCAGAAGGACTGGGAGGCTTTCCAGTCATTTGCCTTCAGTGTCGAGTCGGGAGACACGCTCCTCATCGATGATGCTTCAATCATGACCCCCAAGTTCGCCCAAAGCGCAGCGGAGACTGGTGGTGTCCGTCAAATCTGTTGCGCTGTGGGTGCGCTCGGGAGGTCCTTCCAGTCGATGACCCTGGAAGATTACATCAGTGAGGAGTACCAGGCGGCCTTGGAGCATTATGGTCGCGGGGTCCGCGCAATATACCGACTGAAGTCCTCGAAGACCACCTTGCCCAGCGCCATTCTGGCGTCGATGCTTTTCACGACTTTCGAATTTATGGCTGGCAGCACAGTCAACGCGGCCAAACACCACAACCACGCCGTTGCCATGATGTACCAATACGTTGATTTGTTGATCGAGGAGCAGGGTCTTCCCCTTGAGGAGCTTAGACTTTCTGATATGGACAAGGCCATGTTCGATTCTCTAGAGCGTCACGATACATCCCCCTGGATCGAATCATTAAGCAAGGCGGGTTATGTCAAAATACTGTGCCCAGCACGACGGTTTCCTCATGGGTGTCGACACCGGCTCAGCATGAGCAAAATTCCCGACCGCTTCAACAGCACTCAGCAAGCTTTCACCTGGTGGAACTTTGTGCAACACATGATGGCCCATTCGCTCCACCCTCTCAAGGTTTCCGGGGACGGGGTCCGACGAGTCAGCGAGGCTACGAAGGCTGCTGCGTACAACGAATGCGACGACTTCCTTCACTCGTGGCGCACCGCTTTTACGCCGCTTTTGCAACACGCCAAAGAACACAGGATCACCCATGGCTCCCGGTGGTCGCGGGCGATGATTCTTGAGACCATGTATCTCGAGACCATCTCAGAGCTGCACGCCCGCCACAAGACACACGCGAACATGCTGCCGGCGGTGAAGCCGCTTTACCTGGATCTCATCCGCAGTATGATGCAGCTCGCGCGGGAGAAACCCCTCAACGGCCCCGCCACGATTGGGCTTGAGAACTCCATCATCCGCCCCATAGGCTTTGCACTGGTCAGATGTCAAGACCCGGAAGTCGTGCAAGAGGCAACGGCTGCTTTGGAAGCTATCGTGGGCGGCGTGAACATGTCCTGGACGCTGGTTTACTTGCTGAAAAGCCGCAATAAGACTAAGCCGATGGTAACACTTGAGCGTTCGTGGGGATGGTACTTCACTGCCACTGGATGCAGTTCTGGTGCACATGTCTTCGACGGCATACCCTAGTTTCTGGCGATTGCTGTTGAACAGGGTCGCCCCAGAATGGTTAGTGTTAGGAGCAGGGGCTCTACATGTATATAGAAAGGGCATTGCCCATCCTCATCAGACCTCTGCTGGTGGAGCACTTTTTCACTTAGAACCTATATCTCACTATTCAACTATTACGCGTAGGTAGATTTTGGAGAGGAATCAACCGATCATTTTTGAAGACCTCCTGCGGCTGAACATGTATTATCAGGAGAGCCCTACATCGTCAGACGTTTTTACTATATCGACTATTGATTGATCTAATTTTTGCCCTTTTGCCTGTCTATGTGACCAAGTTTCTCGACCAAAATGACTGGGGGCAACGAGGGATGGCGGAGGGCAGGGTCGCGATGTATCCCAGCCGACCACTGGATCAACGTCATTAACCCCCACAGATACCAGCCACCCGGAGACCCAGCTACCCCGCGCATCCTCGCACCATCCGGACAGCACCCGATACCAACGTGAGTTAACCATTCTGCAGCCGGCTGATGATTTCGCAAGGATACGGATACTGATAGCGGATTTTACGTGATAAGACTTTATTTCCTGCAGTGACTTTGAAGCAAAGTGACGTTGTCACACTAATATGGCCCAGAAGCTTCGAAGACAAAAACAACGCATTCGTAATGCCAAGCTTCGGTCTACAGGCAATGGTACACCGCCAACCTGGCCGTCGGCGGTGCTGGCCGAGATAACGAGGTGGGGTCCTTATCCAGTCTCGCTGTGAAGGAATTCAGGCTTACGAGCTGCACTGCGGCTCGATGGCCGACGTATGCTTCGTTACATGCGGAGAGGATCCTCTATCAAGCTTGTAGTCACGGCTATCATTATTCGTGAAGAATGCCACATGATTGTCCGACTTGTGACATTCAAATAAAGACGAAGTGTGGTCTGTGACACGGTACCGAAGACGCTTTCGCAGTCGTGCACAAACATCACTTCCTATGCCAAGATATCATCATATACCATCATGATGTTTGTTCGGCACTTTTGGGCTTTCTTATCATTGGCCGTTGTTTCGTGCGCCTCTCCTATCTCTCGTGCAGATATGACTCAAAATGATTGGGACCTGGAATGGATCTCGACCAATTCATCGTTACCCAAGGTCGTGTGAGTACAGCGAAGGCTTTGATATGGCTTCCTCTTCACTGACAACGACATGCAGAATTTACAGCGCCGGTGGAACCATCCTGTCAGCCTCAAATTACAGTCGTCTTGATAACATCGCCTACGGCTCGGGCAATCCTCCCACCCCGGAGGATCTAATTGGCAATATCACCGAGGTCCTCGACGTCGCCCAGCTTGCGATTGTGAGGTTCCCAGCATCAGGCGGAAGCGCGGGCCTTAATTCTTCGCTGTACTTGAACATCAGCCAGTATGCCAACAAACAGCTCTGTTCCAAGGGCAGCGAGATCGCTGGTGCCATCATGTTCCACGGGACGAACACATTAGAGGAGACAGTGGGTTGATGATTTGGAATGGGCAAAGAATCAGAAGACTGACGCGAGTGAAGGCTTTTGGGGTCGACTTGACTTTCAACTGCTCCAAGCCGTTTGTGGCGACCGGCGCTATGCGTCCTGATACATACATCTCTCCTGATGGACGTTCCAACTTTTACCAGGCTGTCGCCGCCGCCGCCTCACCTGCTTCGCGAAACCGCGGTGGACTTGTTGCTTTCAATGACAGGTAAGAAGTTCAGAAGCGTTCATGAAGATGTCAACATCTGACCTATCTAGAATCACGTCAATCTACTACTCAACCAAGGTCAACGCCAACACTCCCGACACCTTCCACGCTCTAGAGCAAGGAAACCTCGGTGCCTTCCTCGCCGGACAGCCATACTACTTCTTCGACGCGGCATACCCCACCGGCCGTCCCTATTTTGACGTCAGCAACACAACCGAGCTGCCTGCTGTCATTATTGTCTACGGCCACCGTATGCACTCCCCGAGAAAAAAACGCAGCATGATCGTTCCGCACTGACAACGTCCCAGAGGGCTTCGATGCCTCGTTGATGTACGCCGCTGTCCAAAACGGGGCAAAGTAAGCCGATCACTTTTTGCAGAACCCCCTCCACCGCCGATGCTAATCTTTGAACAGGGGTTTGGTGATCCTGGGGCCCGGAGCGGCTTCCGTCAGTCCTAGCGCCAGAGCTGCGGCTGCCAATCTCTTTGAGCAAGGGATCCCCACCGTTGCCGTCGCCCGCCCGGTTACCGGCTCCGGCGTGCCCAGTCCTATTCCCGGGGCTCTGTAAGTCAACCTTCCATTTCTTCCTCCCGCAAAGAGCCTCATCACATTCGCTTGACCGCTGACTAATTGTTGTCGTAGTATTTACTCAAGTTATGTCGGCGCTGACCAGGCTCGCATTATGCTTCAACTTGCCATCAACGCTGGCTACAGCCTCGATCAGATTCGCGACCTTTTTGAAAGTCCGCTCAGGAACGCGGTCTATGGGTCACCAGCCAGTCAGAAATACTACTATTCATCCTAACATCATTCTCTATAAGCAGGCACTAGGCAGGTTTACTCTAAATCATCAAGAACAATTTCACGAAGACACAGAACCAGCACATGACGGGAGACTCATTAGGTTTTGATATACTATCTCCAATCGTGTAATAACAAGCTCGCTATCATACACACATTGAAACGTGGCCCAGATCTCCAGTGAAAATTAAGGTGAAGCAAGCTAATGCTTCTTGGTGTGGTTTTCCAAATTCATCGCGTATGTACAAATCATCGTCACGACAGCGCTCTCGCTTAGAGAGCAGCAAGGACCAGGCCGACGACACCGACGGCACCGAGGACGCCGGTGTTCTTGGAAGCGCCGGCGAAGACGGGGCTGCTGGGGGTGGCAGTTCCGGAGGGCTAAAAGGCAGAGAGACACCACGTTAACACAGATTCCCATCACAGCAGAGACCAGGCCCAGGCGGCACATACAATGACGACGGAGGTACCGATGGAGGTGACGCGGGTAGCGGTGGCGGTGGAGGTACCGGCGGCACCGGTGCCAGAGGCGGAGGGGGTGGCGGCGCCGGAGGAGGCGGCAGAGCTGGCGGCGGTGGTCAGGGTGGTGGCGGGAGCGGCGGCAGAGGTGGCAGCAGGAGCGGAAGAGGACTCCTCAGCGGGAGGGGCGGCGGCGGAGGAAGAGGCGGCAGCGGTGGTAGGGGCGGGCTCGGCGGCAGTAGACGGAGCAGGGGCGGCGCTGGTGGCAGCGGCAGTGGTGGCGGCGGCGCCGGAGGGGCTGGGAGTGGGAGACAGGCCGCACTTCTCGGCGGCGGTGGTCACGCCGTTGCGGTAGTAGATCCAGATGCCGAAGTTGTTGGCGCAGGCCATGCAGGCGTCGTAGCGGGTGTTCCACTCGGCGTTGTCGCAGAAGCCGTCGGTACGGCCGAGGGTGATGAGAAGACCTATGTCAGGTGGTGTTAGACGCCAAATCTCGTGATATAGTTGCCATTGTGCCTCAATTGAGGCCCCAATGGTGACATGTTCTTACCGCAGTTCTCGTGGCAGGCGTAGGCGGGAGTACCAGGGTCCTGACGGCGCATGATAGCGGGAACGGCCTCAGGGTACTCCCAGCGAGCCTGGATGGAGGCGGAAGCCAGGGAGGCGACGGAGGCCAGAACGGTGCAGGTAACGAATGAACGCATCTTGAAGGCTATTAGAAAGCTTGTAAGGCTAAAGGTTGAGGATGCCGAGGAAGATGCTTTGAGGACTGGAAGAGGAATTGTCTTGGAAATGCCAATCAGCTAATTAAGAACGAGCGTGAGGAGGAAGAGGAGACAAGCCGGACTAAGAGACGGTTGGGAAGAGCCTATTATATGCATAATGCCCTTGGCTTTTCGTATTCCCAGAAACCACGCGTCAGTCTAGACTGCGAGCCGGGTTCGTGTGTGTGTATCCGTCATGGGAAGTCCCAGCTTCGCAGTCTTGGCTCAGCTCCATCATCCAGCTCGCGGAGACAGGGGGACGAACTAACTCGCGCGCATGTGGATTTGCCAAAAGACGAAGGGCAATCCGGCGTGAGCAAGGTGAGCAAGTTGGGATCTGGCGTGCTCGGATTTGCCCCGGATCGCCGACCCGACATGACTGGCCCCGGCGCGCTTGGGAGTGCAATCTCGTGCGGGATGCCGAAAAGCTCGTACCAACGATGGAAAATCAAGAACGAGATCCATGTCGGAGAGGAGGAGAGGGGCCGTGGCACAGGTACCCGCCGAACCAACGCAACTCTAAGTGTACTTACATGGTACGGCTGCTACCTTAACCAGCTGGCGATGGCGAGGACATGACTAAAGTCTTGGGTAGTGTGCTATGCAAGAGAAGCAGACGAGTGAAGAGGAGGAAGAAGGCTGGTTGGTAGTGGTTTGTTGCTAGACTGATGATCCATGATCCGCTCCGCTCTCTCGCGCGCGCAGTTGCAGCTTGCAGTAGGCAAGGTAGCAACAACAAACTCACATCATGTTCCTGTGCCGCCGCCGCCGCCCCTCTCATCCTCCACTTCGCCCTCCTTGTCGACCTGTCGGGAAACGGTGACCTGATGCCAAGTGCTGAAAACACTCGGTTGGCCGGTAAGGATGCTTCTCGCCTTCCCGAAAAGGGCTCTTCTTTCCGGTGAATGCGTCTGGATTCACCGATATCGTCGGACCCAGCTCTCGGCCCAGAACCAGGGGTCGCCCATGGCCGCAGCGATTATCTGATGGACGATGACTGTCCGTGGCGTGAGGGGGGCACTTTTTCTCGCTTCGTTTGGCGGGATGTGTTAAACTACCCTTCCCCCCTGGCTCTTTTGTGGGCGAGGTCGGACTGAGTCCTGACTGAATGGCTGGCTGGCTGGGAGGAGGAGGAGGAGGAGACACCAGCCTCCCTTGTCGGTGGAGAAAGGGTTTAAGGTACGATTAAATGGAGCGGAGCACCGGGCACTGGACACACACAGGATCTCGACCTTGTGATGCATCTAATCTTATCAATCACATCAGTGGAAAAGCCATCGGCGAAGAGGACGGACGTTCCCTGTTTGGGCGATATTGGCGCTGCCGCCAAGAGGCACGGCGGGCCGCATGGCAGCACTTGATTGGACGGAGCGATCTGATAAACTGCACTCTGAAAATTGTTTTTATTTAATTGTATTTTTTATCCCTCGTTCCCCTCTTCGAATGTTGCGCATCTCACCACTCAAGAGTCAAGACTCACAACCCGGAACCCTGTCGCTTCTCCACGACTCCCACGCTACTCTGCAACCCGTTGCCTTTTTGCCAAGTGACGCTTATCCGATGCTGGCCCTTTGCCCACCAGTCTGTTGCAGAAAAGACTGGACAAATAAACAGAGAGGAGAGAGAGAGAGACGTTAGATTGAACCAGCCGGCCCCTTCGGCGGCCGAGAACTTCGTATTTGCCGCCGGTGCCTGTCCCCAGTTCTCCTCTGCGATGCTGCCGAACCGCTCCTCCAAAGGTCCCTTCGGATTTTGCTGGGTCTTGTCATCCTGTGAACCTAACGGTACATTTCCAAGACTTTCCAAGAACTTGTCGCCACCTGCACCACCACCCAGACCATGCATCACCCAACGAGATTCGGCGGACTTGGCCAGAGGAACCCACGTTCTGGGCCGCACTTCTGTTCGTTGTGTGTGTGTGTGTGTGTGTGTGTGTGTGTGTGTGGACGGACGGTTCGAGTTTTTCCCTCATTGCTTTTTGAGCGTTGTCTATTCTGCACATGTGCAAAGCGGAGGTGGTTGGATCGAGGTTGGCGTGCGCGGGGCGGGAACATGTACACACACACACACACACATGCGGCCCTCGAAGAGGCAGTCTCCGTACATCAGAAAGGTAAACTGGGTAAACTGGGTAGGCACTTGCAGCAGTAGTATAACTTGAACGCATTGCCGCCATCCGGTTCGTGTTCCCAAGGATGCACACCCCTTAATTCTTAATTTCCATCGCTCATCTCCCCGATCCCAGTCCAGTCCCTTGGTCTGAAGTTGTGGCTTTGCATCTCTTGGGGTTCTGCCGGGTATCCGACTTGCAATCGCTTTCATCGACGTTTTCGAAATGCATTCCTCGCTGAAGACCTTCTTGGCCCTCGGGCTGGCGTCTGTCGCCTACGCCCAGGACAATGTCATGGATGATGACATGGGGTGAGTCGGACGTCGAGGAACAGCGGTGATAGTGACGTTGACTGACTTTGTCTCGTAGCCCTGCTGCCTTCATGTGGCCCGCCGACAGAGTATGGAGCGGCGATATGGACAACCAGGCCCCTTGCGGCTCCAAGTCTGGCGTTGAGAACAGAACCGAGTTCCCTCTTGGTGAGTTGCGATGACTTCAATCTCAACTGCTCATATCTGACATAAACTCTGCCAGTTAACGGACAGGTTGCCCTTGTTGCCCAGGATGATTACTACAACACCAAGATCTCCATTTCCTACAAGAACGGTATGTTAACCCTAACCCCCTAACCCAGATTTTGACACTTCTTGTACAACCAACCTGTGTGACCGTATTCTGCGACAACAACATACTTATTGGTCCCCCAGATCCTACCTCTAACAGCGACTTTGAAACTCTCATCGAGAACCAGAGCGTCGCCGACCTGAACCCCGGCCACACCTGCGTCAACATCGCCAACCCGCCCAGCTCCGTCACCGCCGGCAGCAACGCCACCCTCCAGATCATCTACAAGGCCGACTGGGACGCCCCGCACAACCAGACCTTCTACGCCTGCGCCGACATCACCTACGTCGAGCTCGCCAACTTCAACACCCGCATCCCCTGCTTCAACGCCACCGAGCCCGGCGAGGACGACCTCAAGGCCACCGCCTCCCCGTCCGCCTCGTCCACCAACTCCGCCTCCAACAGCGGCTCCGGCTCTTCGTCTTCCGGCAGCAAGAAGCTTTCCGGCGGCGCCATCGCCGGTATCGTGATTGGCGCTGTCGCGGGCGTCGGTCTGCTCCTCGGCGCCGCGCTGTTCTTCTACCGCCGCAGCCAGCAGAAGAAGCGCAACTCCCGTCTTGCGCGCATGGAGGACAACGCGAGGAACTCGGAGCACTGGAACGCGGCCAAGGACTCGACTTCGCAGAACAGCGTCCAGCTTAACAACATCCGATGAGCAAGACGATGAGGTAAGGAGTGTGGCATAGCTTCAGGTACTTAGGACTGTTGTTGATGGGGGACGCAAGGGGTGGGTGGTTGGGTTGGATGTCATGATTTATGGACTTTTGGTTGGACGATGTGTTTATGTGCGACGAGATGATATCCAGTTCTTAGTTTAGCAATGAGTTTATGGTTTATGTTTATTTGTGCTCGCCCAAGTCCAAATGTGCTCGTTGCTTCCAGCGACGCATCACTGATCAGTGTGCCACCTCGATGTATTCCAATAACCGGACTGCCACCTTCCTCAAGCCATCGTACATAAGCGCTGTGTTCTCAGTGGTTGACAGACAGTCGGCAGACGGAAGTGCTCCCGGACGGGGTTGACACTGTGCTCCGAGAAACCGAGGGCCATGCCTCGGAGACCGAGATGACTAGCATGGCCCACAGTCTTGGTCATAGCATCAGATAGCAAATGGCAGGTGAATCTCTGTTCAAATTTGACCGATTGCTGTTAGATGCTATGGTAACTTAAATCACATTGCTTGGGTATGATGTTTGTAAAGATCCTCTATATGCGTCTCACTCATCTCTGCCTCTGGCCAGGGGAGTTGTCTCGTCTTCTTCGACAGCGCTCTCCTGATCAGACTCCATGGAACCATACCTAGCAAGACTTAGCATAAAAGCTTCAATGATGGAAAAGGAGACTAATTCGTAAAACTCACCATGAAATGACGGCCAGGCCCAGGAAGGCGGCGATAACGCTGAAAAACATGGCAACATAGCCCTTGGCCGTGAATCCTTCAGGCAGGGGCCCGGCGGGCTTGTTCTCACCCTTCAGGTCGAAGACGTTCTTGGTATTGCCTGCGGCGTTGCCCTTGGTGGGAACTCCACCCGCACGACACGCCTCCAGGTGTCCCTCAGGGATCTTCTGCCCCTGGAGCGCCTCGGGCGCCTCGATGATGGTGGCGACAAGACCCTGGTCCATGTGCCACTCGATATGGCAGTGGAAGAGCCACACGCCCGGGTTGTTAGCCTTGAAGCGGATCACAAAGTTGCCGTTGCCCTCGACGACGAGGGTGTCTCGGCGCATCGGGTACTTTGGGAAGCTGATGCTGCTGTCGTTGGCGTACGCGCCGGCGTCCTCGTCGGAGCGGTGGACGACTTGGAACTGGTGGCCGTGGAGGTGGAAGGGGTGCTTGCCGTCGTCCTCGTTGTTGAGGACGATCTCGATCACCTCGTTGTGCTTGAGGACCTGCGTGTTGGTGTAGGTACCGTAGACGCGGGGGTCCAGGGCGTTCTTCTCCCCGACGGTGAGGGCGGTGTACAAGGACGGGACCTTGGGGGCGACGTAGGTCTTGTCGTTGAAGAAGGCGCTGTTGCACATTGGTCATTGGCCTGTCACAGCATTCAACGGGATACATACTAGTTAGCGCCATCAACCAGATTGTCCATCTTGACGGTGAAGCTGAAGGAGTAATCGACCTTGTCGTAGAGCTCTCGATGGTCGACGGGCACCAAATCGAAATCATCAAAGGCGGCCTCAAAATCATCTACGGTCGCGGGCTCAGGCAGGGGCTTCTTCTCGTCGTAGACGAGCCAGCCAGTGACGTTGGAGTTCTGGTCGTCGGGAATGACATCGAACAACTCCTCGTCCATTGAGCCGACGATGGCGAAGTTTTGCGATGCATCCTTCTTGGTGGTGAGAAGGACGCTGTAGCGCTGCGCCGGGGTGATGTAGAGCATATTGGCATCGGCCTCCTCGGTCCAGACGCCGTCAACCTCAACAACACGTATCTGATGGCCCTCGAACCAGATGTACTGGGATGCAAAGGCACCGACGTTGACCAGGCGAATGAGGTAGGTCTTGCCGGGCTGGACCTTGACCTGTAGGTTCTGTGTGTCGTTCATGAGAGCCGAGTTGGGAACGGGCTCGGCGCCGGTGGGGTTCTCGACGCTGATGAGCTCCTTGATGAGATATCTCGTCGACTGGTGATACCAATCTGACAGAGTGATGACGAGTTCCTCATCATACTTTCCCTCGTAGGGACCCTCGGGATCGTGGATGACAACGGGGCCACGCAGACCCTCGGGGTACTGGCCATCGTTGTGGGCGTGGTACCAGTATGTGCCTGATTGATCAAACTGAGAAGATGTGTGAGCCTCATGCAATGGCTGTGTGAGTGTATGAGTTGAGGCCTCTCACCTTGAAATCATATGTAAGAGACTTTCCTGGAGGAATGGCGCACTGGGTCACGCCGACAGCGCCGTCCATGTAGTTTGTGCCATCTTGGAACAGACCGTGGAAATGAAGACTGGTGCTCTCAACACCGAGCTGGTTGTTGACGTTGAGAACGAGCCTGTCGCCTTTTGTGGCCTCGATGAGTGGCAGCGGCCATTGTCCGTTAACGCCGATGGTGGGCTTGTCGAACTGGCCGTCGGGGTTGGAGGTCACCCATGTGATGTTCCAGTCGAGGTTGATGGTTTTTGCCAGGGCTGGCGTCGCGAATAGCATCAAGGCTGTGAGACGAGCCATGAGGGGCGAACTTGGCGATGAAAAGGCCATGGCGGCCATGAGAGTCAAATTGGGGTTGCGATGTGCTGTGCTCGCTCTCGCTCGGTGGTGGGCGAAGTTACCAAGTCTATGACTCAAGACTTAACACAAGCTTTCAGTTGCCAGACTCTCTCTGTGTGCGTCTCCCTTGTGTCGGTCGCTGTCTCACCGGGCCAGACGTCGTCGTCGACCAGAGTGTTGGTATCGCTATTTCAAAACGTCGTCGTTCCGCAAAGGCTTCATCGAACCGGGCCGAGCACGGAGAACATGGCCTTCTTCTTCCAGTGTGGCTGCTTTACGGATAGAGGGACCTGAAGGGAAGGGGGGGAAGTCGCAAGCGAGACACACGTGAAAAAGGGTCGCCTGATGGAAAATTGCATGCGTCTTGGCGGCCTGGATCTGATAAGGGAAAGCCCCCCTCAAGAAAAGCGAAAAAGGCCCACCCCGGTGGGGTTTATCTGATCCGCCGCCGCCTGAAAATCAAACACGCAGCAGCCAGCCCACCCCTTCCGCCGGGACGAACCTGTCATCGACCTGCCAGCAGCACAACACCTAAGGTACCTTATGCTGCACAGTACTGCCGATTCGCTCCGTCTTGTGCGCTAGCCGACATCGCTGGACACCCCGGTCCTCGAAAAAGCGAGGAAAAACCTTTCGGTCTCCGCGCCCGTCGCCCGTCACGCGACAGACACTGGCCGACAATCCTTCACGCTGGTTGGGACGGGATTGTTCCAGCGTGAAATTTCACAGTGAGAGAGCCCTGTATCCTTCGGCATCCTTCCACCCTGGTCACCACACGCATTTCGAAAAGAGCCGCCCCGGCCGCTGTCGCAGCATCTCGTCCATCTGCATCTCCGCTCTGCCCTGTGCTGTGCTCTGCTGTGGTGACTGTCGCATCCATCATTCCTCGTCGAGCCTCTCTCTTCTTTCGATATACCGCAGCCGAGAAGCCTGTCGTCTGCGATGCTTCCAGACTCTCTTGCGCCGTAGACACTCCCCTCCCTCGTCGAGTCAAGCCTGCCCAGGACCAACAGCGCAGCCAGAGCCCCTTAAGTTCCAGCCGCCCGAACTCTCTCAGCTGACGCTCAGCCGCTCGCGCGCCTAGCACCACAGACCATTCGCCCCAGTCGCCACCAGTCACCCACCATCTGCAATCTTCAGCCTCACCCGTAGAACATCTCAAATCAACACACAAGATGGAGGACCTATTTTCACTGCCCAGTAAGCTTGATGAGACGACTCTCATTCAGACATAGTCGCTGACCCCCTCAGTCTTCTTCATCACCTTCCGCGAGTCCCTTGAGACCGCCATCATCGTCTCGGTCCTGCTCGCCTTCATCAAGCGCACTTTGGCAACTCAAGATGACCCCGTGCTCTATCAAAAGATGGTGCAGCAGGTGAGTTCGTCCCATCTTGTTCACCAGAACCTCCAACGCTGACCTGCACAGGTCTGGTTCGGCACCGTCGCTGGCCTGCTGACGTGCGTTCTCATCGCCGTTGCCATCATCAGCGGAATCCACAGCCTCGGCGCGGAGCAGTTCGCCGCCGCCGAGAGCATCTGGGAGGGCGTCTTCTCCCTCGGCGCCTCCCTCATCATCACCGCCATGGGCGCCGTGCTCCTCCGTGTGACGAAGCTCCAGGACAAGTGGCGTGCGAAGCTGTCCAAGGCTCTTAACGCTACCGAGAGTCACTCTGGCCCCTGGGGTGAGCGTCTCAAGTATCTCGGCGAGAAGTACGCCCTGTTCCTGCTGCCTTTCATCACGGTCCTGCGAGAGGGCTTCGAGGGTGTCTTGTTCATTGTCGGTGTTGGTGTGAGCATTCCCGCCGGCGCCATTGCTCTTTCCTCGGTCCTCGGACTCGCTCTCGGTGCCTTTGTTGGTTACTTCATCTACAAGTGAGTTTGCCTCGTCACAACTCTAGCCATTATGATGCCCGTGCTGACTCCCCATTCAGGGGCTCCAAAACCGCACCCATTCAGCTCTTCCTCATCGTTTCGACCTGCTTCTTGTACCTCATTGCTGCTGGCCTCTTCTCCAAGGGTGTCTGGCACTTTGAGCAGAACGAGTGGAACAAGATTGTCGGCGGTGACGCCGCAGAGCTGGGCTCCGGGCCTGGCTCCTACGACATTCGCAGGAGTGTTTGGCACGTAAACGTAAGATGGTCCCTCACAGCCTCCTCCCGAATCAACATACTAACGCATCACAGTGCTGCAACCCCGACCTCAACGGCGGCGGCTTCTGGGGAATCTTCAACGCCGTCCTCGGCTGGCAAAACTCCGCCACGGTCGGCTCCGTCGTCTCCTACAACCTGTACTGGGTTGCCGTCGCCACGGGCTTCTTCGCCATGATCTGCAACGAGAAGGGGTACTGGCCCTTTGCGAAGAAGGACAAGCACGTGGAGCACGAGGGCGACGACCAAGAGCCTCTCCTCAGCAGGCCCGCGAGGTAAGATCAAGCAGTGCCGTCCTCCCGAGTTCCCCCGATAAAGGCGCCTACCCGGAAACAACCTGGATCGGTGCACCTGGTGATCTTCATTGGAAGAGGAGTACACTCTCCCAGAGGCGAACAATTTTTTGGATCATGTCGCGGGTTGAAGACCGAAGACGCCTTAATGAAGAAAGAATGAAGATAGCATATCCTGTACATACGACTCATGTACATCAGCATACTCAATTTGATTGCATATACCTGACCTGCTTTATAGAATGTTCTCATTTGGGTTTGGTGATGCTCCCTCCGGTTCATCGTCCAAAAGACAGAAAACAGCATGACCTCGGTCACATCTTCATTCAGGCCCAGCGCCAAGCCTCATTTTTTCGTAGGCTGACTGTAGTATTGCACCTTCTTTCCATTCTATCATTCAACGATACACATGCAGGTATCCGTTTCCAGTGTACTTTATCAAAACAAGCCATTCCGGAGGTATGAGTTCGGTTTCCGAGCACAACCCCTACTTCTTCGCCGATCAGTGCATCAAATCACCTCGCCACATGATCTCTTACAACGTCAACCATCCCCGAACCTCATGCCTCATGGCTGCTTACTGCGAGCCAGATGATGCAGATCCGCCTCCTCGCCAACCCGGAATCCCTGCTCGGTCGCCGACTTGGCTTTGCGCTCCGCGCCAGCTGTCCCGCTGCCCGCAGCAGGCGACGACGACGACGACGACGAAGATTTGTTCAGGATCTCATCCACCCGCGACGACAACCCCGATTTCGCGTTTGCGGCGTCGATGCTCTCGCCGATATTGCGGTCAACCGCCGAACCATGGGTATCCTTGGTCTCGTCGATGATGTTTCTGTGACGTGTCAGCCCGCAATGCGATAACGGCCGAAACTTTCAAACAACAATCAATTTCTATTCTGCAAAGAAAATTTCAAGAGCTGGTTGGAATGTCGCTTACTGCGCTTGGCCGTGCTGGTTTGCATCCAGAGGCGTTTGCTCGACTCCGCGGTCGCTGGCGTGGCTACCAGGCGCAGGGTTGTTCGGTGCTGTACCAGACATGTTTACTACTAGCGAAGTGATGATAAAATTAGGTGAGATATTTGTATGATTGTGGAGAACTGTTACAATTGAATGCAATTGAGGATAAAGATCCAATAGCAAAGTGAAATAGCTTCGCCCAGTCTCCCTTATGTGCCCTTTGGTGGAAGCCTCATCATTGCTACGTCATGAACATTCGGTGGAGGTCGGTCCGCTGCTGAAACACACGCGACCCTACCGCGTGCGCGTTCGAGTGATTCTGTTCGTCTAAGCTGGCTGAGGTAAGATATGAGTGCTCATGAGGCAAGAGGCTTTGTTGATCAGCCGATTTTGCCACTTCAATTTCGACAGTGTCCAACACACTGTAGGCCAAACGTTCGAATATGTCGTTGTAGTCAATTTACTACGAATGTGTGAATAATGCTTCAGGAATATTTCACAGGTTTCTCCAACTGCTGGTCGTTCTGTGTGGTTACCGGAAGTTGATTCAAACTCACCTTGGCCGTTTTTTGTATGTTGCAACTCGACAAATGAAATAAATAACCCACTCGATATCTCATTCACTTAGACCGTTCATGAGATCAATATAAGCTGGTTACGCCGAATAAAGATTTCCGAAATTGAATTGATCAATCACAGGCCGGTCAAGAGTGGTGGTGGCAGGAATGAAGTAGGTCACGATGCAATGAACACAACAGAAACAATTATTGTCATTGACACAATCTTTTCAAAGACAATCGAACACCGCTGTATTTTATGTCCTACACATTCTGTATCGTATATACTCCGTAAATTCATACACATGAATGACCGAAATAATTGGCTTCATCCGCTCAGTGCAACGGGGCGTGCTGCAACCCGAGCAGAGAGATGCTAGCCCTCACCGTCGCACCCGATCCCACGTCAAAGGCATCCGCCTTGATCATGCCAGGGGCCTCAAGAATGTCGGAGAAGGGAATCTCGATGGCTCCCGTCTCGTCGGTCTTGTTCATCAGCGCAAGCTTGAAGCTCGACGCGTTGTTGACCATGTCCAGCGTCACCGGGATCCTGAATGCGGTGTCGAAGTTGGGGTTGAAGATGTCCATGCCGGGGCTGTATGACTTGATCGGCGTCTGGAACTCGCTCGCGCCCCACGTCACCTTCACGCTGGGGTTCAAGTCGCTGCGGTTGCCCTCGAGCCCGAGAGCGCTGGCGATAAGCACCGTCGCGAGTCCGCAGATCTGGCCCTCGCCCTGGCTCTCGGCGGCCTTGAGTGCATCAACTTCAGGTACGAAGTTGAAGAATTGGGCGTGGAGGACAATCTTCGAGCCGGTCGGTTCACTGTTGTGGATCAGCTCCAGCTCGTGCGTACCGCCTTCCAGCAGGATGTCCTTGACGGTGGTAGATGCCAGGCCGATATCGTCGTCGCCCACGAGGTCGTCGTCATCCACATCGACCGCGATGACCTGGTCGAAGTCCGTAATGAGGAAGTCATGCGTCTCATTCCAGGTGGGGTTGTGGTCGTTCTTCACAGTCTTGGTGCGCCACATCTCCTCGGCGCCGACACTGACTTGACAGAAGCAGTCGGGAACGTCCTTGATGATCTTGTCGAGCAGCCTCTTGGCGCCGCTCTTCTTGGGTCCGTTAATGTCGGTCGCCTTCTCGACAGTCAGGCGTAGGACTCCAAGATGGTGCTGGTACGCCTTGAACCAGTCCAGGTTGCCGTCGAGCTTCACCAGGTAGCGGTTGGGGAGGACGGCCATGGAGCCGATGATGTTGAGAATGACCTTGCGGACGGCCTTCTCGATGAGGAAGCAGTCGGCGATATTGGCGGCGTGAGCAAAGTCGAGCTTCAGGGTGGGTGGGTTGATAAAAGCAACTTGAGCCGCTCCAATCTGAGGTTGTTTTAGTGCGCGTCCTTCACAATAGATGGGCGAGACCGCATTACCAGAGGAATAGTATCGGTCAACGGCGAGAGGAGTACGGAAAGTCTGCCGTGGATATGAACCTTCTCAATGCCCTGTCGAAGTTCAGCCACACGTATCATCGTCACAGTTTCGCCGACCAACTTACCAACTTGGGCACCATCTTACCCTCCAAATCAATGTCACATTGCCCATCCCAGTCCAGGTCCATATCAAGCTTGATGCCCTCATTGTCGGTCTTGTGCACATCCACTTGAGAAAATCTCATCGGTACATTTCCCAAATCAATCTTGGAGAAGCGCAGGGTAGACAGAGGACCTGGCAACATGGAGGCGAGCATTGGCTCAACAATTTCCTTGGTCATTCGACCGGCGGCGATGTTGATGTGCGGCCACAATTGGTCCACAATGTCATTGAGGAATCCTGATTCAGATCAGACGGTGCTCGTAGCCCAGACATTAACAGTTCGAGGTATTGAGCATCTTACCGGCCGATTCGGTTCCCCCCGACGCCTTCAGTCTCTCGACGAGTGGTGTTGCGAATGCCGCCATGCTGGAGCAATGTTTGAAAAAGTGTCTACTAGAAGATGAGGTCGAGAGTGTTGCACCTGGATCTCAATGAAGAAGAGTGAAATACGACGTTGTAAATAAGGATGTGGGGCACCCCGACTTTTGAAAAAGAGGCAGGAAAGACCGATCATCGAGCCCGACATCGAAAGCATGAAGACATCAGCATGTTTTTGATGCCAAGTAGCCCGCGGGGCGGTCGTCATTCCTTGGCAGAGGGAGCGAATTGACGTCACTTGGCAAAACCTGACCCCCATTGTGCCTCTTCTGCGCGGAGAAACCCCTCTCCCATTGGGGCCTTGAGTGTTTGGGAGGCGGTATAAACATTTGGAGTTCCAAACTTCCAATAGGCGTGTGTACGCCAAGCAGGGGCGCGACACGGTGCGGATTCGCTGCTAAACAAGTTTTTTGGGCGGTGATACACGAACCTCCGTAGCCTAAATTGCAGCACCAGTTTTGACCAGTTTCGGTTAACTGCGGCCCGCAGGTGGCCACTTAGCCCCTACCACGTAGATTGTGGTAGTTTCAGCTGGCTGACACACCGCTTGTTGACCCTCTCATATTCCAACGACAACAAGGGGATGGGACCTGTTTGCATGCCAAGAACGATGACAACAAGTCGTGTTACCGTTCTGCAATAGATTGCATCGCCTTTGCGCCGCTGTCGTATGAGGGGATATTGTGGAATCACAAAAGAAAAGAGGTAAAGCCCCGAGAGCATGTCTCACTTGCCATCGGTGCAACATTTGTTTGGAAAAGTCTCAATGTCAGACAAGTACAAGTATGATCACTCGAGCATGTTGGGGGGAAACAACGCGTTTTGATGATAACCCCGCGTCAGATAGCAGATGCGGGGACTTCGACCACTTCGACCCAACCCCGCCTGCGTGAAGACTTTCTCCACAGATATCTGCACATGAAGGACCACTTTCAACCTACCAACCTATATTTTCTCATCTTCAATCTATAAAAGTGGGAGAATGTTTCTATTTCCCCCCCTCTCTTGCTGATCAGTTCGACATGCGTGATTGGGCATGAGCCAGATATCGTGGAGCGTCAGGGAAAGAAAACCAATAAAGATCTAGTGGTAGCTTCACGTGGCGAAGACCGCGTGACAGCTTGACAACAGAATAATGGCACACGGTTGAACAAAACTCTGTGTGTCTTCTACTTGGCCCAAAGTACGATGGGAAGATGAGAAACTTTCGCAGGATTTGAAGTAAGGGATCATATCCAAGTGTTCATTGACGGGCACCTTTCGTCTTTTAAAAAAAAAAATGTGCAGTAAGTTGTGCAGATCGCAGAAGTTTTTCGGAAGATAGACGGACACGTTGAAGTAAAATTCTACTTAGTAGTCTCCCAGTCGCTCGCTCACGCATCAGCCAATCAAGAAATGAAAGAAGAGAGTTTTCTCTTGTCATCACGCCAAATATTCCAGCAGTTGCTGAGTGAATAACAGAGCACAGCCCATGTTTCTTTCCAGAAACCGTGCTCGC